TGACAGGCTTGAGAGGTGGGCCCGTGAGAACCTCATGAAGTTCAACAAGACCAACTGCAAGGTCCTGCACGTGGGTTGGGACAATGCCAAGCACAAATACGGCCTGGGCAATGAGTGGATTGAGAGCAGCCCTGAGGAGAAAGACTTGGGGGTATGAAAAACTGAATATGAGCCAGCAATGTGCATTTGCAGCCCAGAAAACCAACCGTATCCTAGGCTGCATCAAAAGAAGCATGGCCAGCAGGTCAAAGGAGGTGATTCTCCCCCTCTATTCTGCTCTTGTGAGACCCCACCTGGAGTACCACGTTCAGCTCCAGGGCCCCAGACATAAGAAGGACATGGACCTCTTGAAGCGAGCCCAGAGGAGGGCCACGAAGATGGTCAAAGGGCTGGAGCACCTCTCCTAAGAAGACAGGCTGAGAGAGTTGGGGTTGTTCAGCCTGGAGAAGAGAACGCTCCGGGGACACCTTCCAGCAGCCTTCCAGTACTTAAAGGGGGCCTACAAGAAAGCCAGAGAGGGACTTTTTACAAGGGCATAGTAGTGATAGCACCAGGGGTACTGGCTTTAAACTGAAAGAGGGCAGATTTAGATTAGATGTAAGGAAGCAGTTCTTTACTGTGAGGGTGGTGAGGCACTGGAACAGGTTGCCCAGAGAAGTTGTGGATGCCCCATCCCTGGAAGTGTTCAAGGCCAGGTTGGATGGGGCTTTGAGCAACCTGGTCTAGTGGAAGGTGTTGCCAACCACGGCAGCAGGGTTGGAACTAGAGGGTCTTTAAGGTCCCTTCCAACCCAAACCATTCTGTGATTCCTCTGACAAAAGTTACCTTCCCTGCTTATCAGTGCAGATCTTTTGAGATAGAACAGGTGCAAAAGAGATCAGCTGTAATGTTAAAAACTGACATGAAAATTCAGGAGAATTAATTACACCTACTTTGAATCTTCTTTCTAGTCTAGCTGCTGTGCTTAGTTTAGCTTGTTTGACTAAATATAAATTTAATTGCAACTCATGATTGCTCTTGCAGTTAAATAGCTACAGTTGCTTGATTATTGGTGGTGTTTTTTTTTTAAAACAGAAGGCTTGTTTCCTAAGGAAATGAGGTTTTAGAGAGTGAGCTGCAAATAAGTCCCCTAAGTAACCTACTGCCAATTTCAATCTCATTTTGAGAAGGGTAGTGGTCTTGAAAGTACAAAATTTAGTGCCCCTACAAATGGTAAGGCAAGTCAAGCATCTTGAATTCCTAGCAACAATGAAGCTTAACACATGCTGCTACTTGTCCTGTCAAAGAGAAAGAGGTGGTGAATGGGGAAGTTCTCGGAGAGAAAAAATAAAAACAAAGAGAAAGGGAAAGAGAAACCCTGGAAAAGCGTGAAGAAACCAGATGTACAGTGATCAGAATGGTAACAAAATAAGTCAGTAGGAAACTAAACCTTACTAGCTCCAGTGCTGAAGGAACAACCTTTTTCTTTGGGTGAGTAGACTGTCATTCAATATATGCTGGTTCTATGTTTCCTCTCATTAAAGAAGTTTTAAAATATTTTGCATGGTTGTTCACAGGTTTAGTTTTGACCATGTAGTTCAAATACTATGGTATTTTCAGGTTTGGAATCAAGACACCAAAGGAGCTGAAGCAAATTGGCCTTGTTGAGGTAGAATATCGCCAGACAAACAATTCTGGATTAATGTATGATTAATAGTGTATGTGATTTTGTTCATTGCCTCCAATTTGGTTAATAAAACTCCTGTTTTCATGTCACTAAACCCCACAAACCCCTTCCAGTAGCACAGCAGAAGTGAAACTTCTATAGACTTATCAGTCCATTTATAATGTGACCTTCACCATAATATGAAGGCAGTAGCTTCATCTAACTACCATTCAAATCACCATTTTCTGTTGGAAAAGTTATGAGAATGGAGAAAAATTCTGACAAAAAAAGTTCTTAGGGCTGCTTCAACAAAGGAATTTAATCTTTATTAGCTTTTCAATCCAAGAAAAAGGATTAAAAAAACATAATGTTCACTTTTTACAGGTGAAAATCATCCAGAAGAAAACACAGCATAACTAACTAGAAAATAATGATTAAACATTAAACAAAACAGAGGTCATGCTCAGATACTACCCACTGGGAAACTACCATACTTCTCTTCTACGGGGTAACCCTGCAGCTACTTGCTAGCTATTGCAGTGACTGCTACAACACCTGAACTGCAGATCAGCTGAAAAGTGGTGACCTGCCTCCATGCATTTCACACTTTGCCTTCCTTTTTTTTAGTTCATTTATCAAGCATACATTGAACATCAATTCAAAGAACCCACCATCCAGTCTGCTAAAGGTCATGAAAGCCAGACTGTATCTAACTACATAGCATTCAATTAGCAGAAATGAAAACAACCCCAAACCCTGACCACATTTCACAAACACGTGGAGAATGAACAGCAGGGAAAGCTGTCCATTTAGAAAATACAGAATTTACAAACACAATGTTTGCAGGCATCTGTCCTTGAGGCTTTCAGTATTTCTTCACTCCCTCATATTTCTTGCTTCCTGTCTTTTTCATCAATCACCTCCTTCCAACTGCAAATTCCAGGAAGGGCTCCCAAAATGCTCTGAGAAACTAGATTTATATATTTCATACGATTCACTGAAATAGCTCAGATAAAGACTTTCTGTCATTATCAAACTTATCTGGAAAGGACTTACCGACCACTTTAAAAGGGATTTCTGCTCTACCCTGCTACCTCTTTCCTCGCAACCCAATTTCAGTGCACTAGATTAGAAGTTTTTCACTACAGGTCTTCAGCTGCAGCCCATCAGATAAGGAAAATCAGATAAATTTTTTTCTCCCAATAACATCAAGGCAGTTAAGGATCTTAAAATATGATACTCCACCAGTGTTTTAGGCTGCCATAGAAAAGAAACCGGTTATACTCCAAGGTGTGCTTTGCTGAACTGTACACTGAATTCTACCAGGAGAAAAAGTTCTGTCCACTTTGCTGGATACTTTACTTTATCACAGTAGCATTATGAAGAAATTAACTCTATTACTGCTAACGTGGCAATTAGAAAAAACCACAACTAACCACTGCCCCCCAGTGACTAATTTACTCAGAACAGTAATATGCAAGCACAATTCATGAATCACTCTTCTTATTTGAATTTATCACATATCTTTCAGTCAGTTCCCTCTGTAGACAGAAGTTCTGAGTACAAGAGTGCAAGCTGATTTTAGGGGCTGTGCTAGCTTCTTTCCATTCAGTATCTATGCTGCATATATTACTTCAAAATACAGATCTCTCCAGCTCCTGAGATTATCTTTTTCATCAGCTCCCAATTACCTGCTCCCAGATAGCACCTCCCTTCCTAAAAGCTTATTTTTGACACTGCCAACTTACCCTTTTTGACAGTTCTGTTCCCTTCCCCATGGCTTTCAATCAATAACCTAATTCTTTCACACACTACAGTTGTTCTTCTCCCCATAAGTCTCTAGGAGTTCTTCAGTATTAGCAAGAACAAACACCTGTCGCATCCAGACACCCACAAATTCTGATCAATTTTACAGAAAAAGACATGCTAAGTCAATACCAGGCAGGTAGCAAAATTTAGCACATGGCACTACTTGAATGTAGGCATTTTTCTTTGAAGTCCCATTTCTGCCAAAAAAACCCAGAGCCAACCCTGCAAATTGCAGGTCTATACCTGACAAAATGTTACGTGGTAGAACACAAAATAGAAAACACTCCTGTAAATTGCTACAAGTCAATTTATAGTCATCAGAAATTTCTTACTTGAGTTGGATGTCCTTTGGGCAAAATTCTAATCTATCAAAATCTACAAATAGAAAGAACAAAAAACCCACTTAGTGTTTTAGGATTTTTTAATGTATGTCTAGAAAAAAAAAATATTGAAGTACTAAGATAACACTTACCTAAGCCACATTCTCCAACTGCTATTACCTTTGTCTTATTTTTTTCAATCAGATTTTTTAATTCAGATAAATACTGTTCAGGGCTACTCTGTTCAAATTCTCCACAGCGGGTAGGATGACAGCCAACTGTACTGTAGAACATGTCTAAAGCAAGATAGTATTAGTTGGTTTTAAGAAAAAAAAAAAAAGAAAATTTATAGAAGTTATAGACAGTATCTGTATCTGGACTTTTTTTTGTTGCTCATTATTTTAAAAGAAAAGTCCCCTTGAACATCTTTATCTTGGTGATGATTTTATTACACTTGTATTTTCTGCTTTAAAAAATGTTAGACAGTATTTCCAGCAGGGGTGTGTGCATGTGTTTCTTTTGAGTACACATTATTTAGTATACTCCAAAACCGCAACTCAAAGCTGAATTACTCCGGTGGAGCGGCCCTCAACAAATCATACAATTGTTGAGGATGGAAGAAACCTCTTGAGATCACCCAGAAATACATCTCGTTCAAAATGCATCAGGTTATCCTCAGCATCCTCAGGCAGACAGCACGCAGTGTGCCTCTGCATAAGCTGTTACAGAATTTCACAAGCAACATCTAGCCTGATTCACCCACATATCTAATCTAGGTTACCTTAGTGCCAAAACTAACACTTCTGCTAAGTGCCTTTATGGAGAACGTATAAGCTTGGGAGGGAGGGAAAGACTATATAAGGCCCCGAGCAACTTGACCTAATCTTAAAGCTAGTCCTTCTTTGATGGAGGTGGGGAGATTGATCGGGTTGGACCAAATTAACTCCTCAGGTTCATTCCAACTTAAATTATTCTATGGTTCTCTTCATAAATAGTACTTTAACATGTGTTTTAGTTCAAATACATACTAATTAGTGGAATGATATTTGCCTTTTCACAGAAAGAAAGGTAAAGCTAGGAGAACCGTAAAGAAAAAGATACCTCTCTTGTTCAAGCTGGTCATGATAGATTGGTAAGTAAAAAACAAACAAAAACCCACCAAAAAACATATCCTCCACACCATATAAGCATTCCAGCTTATTTCTAGAAGAGAGCCTTGTAACAAAATTTGTATTCCAGAAATTTCCTGTAATTGCTGTCTAGAAATAGAAATTACAGGAAAGACTGATTCCTTCCAACACCCAGGGATCTAAAGAGCAACATACAGGAACTCATACACAATGCATTCATCGCATTCTGAAACATAATTTCTCATTTTGAGATTCTGAAACACCACCAGTGGCAGGTCCTTTTGAACTCTTAATTCTGAGAGTGGAGAAGGTTATATATTTAACTGACAACATTAAGTTTAAAGTGGAAATACCATTTGTTTGTGCCAGCTGCAATGCATCTTTACTATCTTGTAGACTCCCACCTGTAATCAAAAACTTGGAAGAAGAAAAGTACTGTCAGTGAGTATGATCTTCTCTGAACATCAAACAGAATATTTAAGAAAACACTCAGATGTAAGTAAGAATCTAGACAGAGAACATGAGAAGATAATTACTAATGTATATTTGACAAAATTTCATAAATCAGTAAAACCTCAATGGTCCTCAGGAGCTAGTAAATACACTAGGTATCAAAACCTGATTTTTTTCTTTATCAAGTATCTTCTAAGTATTTAAACCATTAAATTAGTAAAATACATCTATGTGCAGCAATATTAACTTCATTAGACAATGACTCAAGAAACTTTATTTGCATTCAAGAAATGATAATCAGAAACATTCTCCTTGTCTTACAGGTGGAGAAACTAAAAACTCCTCAACACCCAAAACAAGACATGAGTAAGTAAGTAGATAAACCAACAAAGGAGCCCGTATCAGAGTTGGGATTACAAATTTAAAAATTTCTGCCTCCGATCTTTTATTTTTACCTTAAGATCAAAGGTTATCACACAAGAATTGTTGCTTACAGCGTTTTTTGAATCACCACTTGCAGGATCTTGTACCCTAGGTCTTAATAAATGATGACTACACTGCTTTTGGACCACTTCTATCCCTACGTATGCTATATACCAGACTCGGTCAGCACCAAGTCAGACATTTCTGCAGCATGGTCCATTAGAGATGGACACATCCCAACAGTATCGCCAGAAAAATAAATTAAGCTGAAAGTGGCTCAGAGTACACATATCACAGGGCAAAACTTCACAAAAATTACCACAAATCAGCAGCTATATAGAAAAATAGAAGTATTTTCAAATAAACAGATTAAGATTCTAGGCAAGTAGAAACAATCTGGGATGGGATAGACTTCTGACGCTGTACAGGACAGTAGCAAGACTGAAAACATAGCTAAGGACATGGAAATCCTGAATTCCATCTCTGAATTCACTGTGCACCTTGAAAAAGTTATGCAGCCAATCTTTTTTTGATGATAAAGTAGGAAAATTGCCACTTACTTTCAGAGGGTGGTATAAAGATTAAACAGTACTTATACAGCATATATAAACACAGTAAAAGTGACTATGATTCTGTATTTGCTGTAGTGTGGTAACTTCTCCATCGCTAGAGCTTTCTTTTTTTTGTCTACCAGTTTATTGTCCCTTATTTTCAGACAAGAGCCTTTTAGCAAGTCTATTCCTCTTCTAGAGGAGGGTTTATTTCTTTATTTCTAATCCACCAGCCTTATTAGTGCAGTAGAACAGTTCATGACAGTGTGCATTGTATTCAATTTTAATTCATATTTTTGTCTTGACAATTTATTCAGTTTAGAGAGATATAGGCAGGCTAGACTATTATAACAAAAGGAGTGTGGTCCACTGCTGAAAACACCAATTTCAAGCTAAGAGTTACAAACCTGTTCATAATGATGCTGTTTAAATGCACATAAGCCAGACATTCGGATGAAAGAATTTATGGGCACTCCCAGCTGTTCTGCAATTACCAATTTCCTTTACATACAGAAATATCTGAAGGATTATTATCAGGAGAGTTTTTGAGTTTTGATCTGTGGTGGCAACTGTTGAGTCAGTCACTCAGGATACAAGAAGACAGGAGTGGCTGCCTATAATACTACTAACACAGAAAATTACGTACTAGTTGACTGCAGTAGGTCAGAGGAGAACACCCTTCTCTTGAAACTGTACAGAAGAAATTCTACATACATACCACATATGATACCACTGAACTTAAATAATCAGCATCTAACGATCTGTGCAAATGAAAGACAATGCTCTGCACAGAACGCTTTTGTTTTATGCTGTTGAAGAAAGTTACTGCATTTTCCACTGCAAGTTGCAGAAACATTGTTTTAATAGTCGAGCACTAAAAACCCAAAGTATTAGAAAGCAGTTTAAAATATTAAAGAAATTTTATTATAAGAAATTACCTTTTTAATGCCAATTTTGACTGCTCTCTCTACCACATCCAAAAAGTCATCTGTGAAAGTTCATAAAAATATCATAAATTGAACTTCAGGTTTTACAGCATAACTTAACTACTTTTCAACTAAAACTCACTTTCATGCAGTCAAAATGCATATCACAATCAATCTTTAAACCACATTTCAGTAATCTTTAGAAGACAATAACAAAATGCAATAACTGAAGATACAATTTAAATCCAAGAAGTCAATGGAAGTTTTTCACATACTTTAGTAGACTCTTTTTACATTTATATCTAAAGGCCATGACAGCAAAAAAAGCATCAGTTATAATTAGTAACTATGACTCAGCAATGCAATACTTCATAGTTTATTGATCATAATTCTCAGATCAGTTTCTTCCATGCAATCCTAACATAAATACATCAGCAATTTTCCATTTTGCTCTAGAAGCAGTTACCTGTATGACAACTTAACAGCAATTCAGTAGAAGACAGTATATTTTGCTTAGAACATCTAACTTATTTTGTCACACTTTCTTCTTCAAGCCATAGTAAATAATAAGCATCCAGTTTCTGAGGAGAAAAAAAAAGTTCTAACCTCACTTGCTGACAAGAGGCTTCCATTTTAATAAGAGGGATTCAGTCTTTCAGCAGATACAAAGCAACACTTACCTTGATGTTTTTGTGTTCCCCTGTAGATTCCTCTGAACATAGGATCTGTCAGGTTAATACCAATATCTATGAAAAAACAAATATAGAAATTAGATGCTATAGTCACTCTGCATTTCATTCTGAGCGTTAGCCAACTAGGGAAGGCAATGTAAAGCATATCTCAGTAGAACCCAACTACCACATTGACAGGACATACAAAGCTTAAGCATAAGTTTACTCACATAATTTGAGAGCTTACTTCTTACTAGAAGTGACAGAAAAATTGAATTTTGGCCTTCTGTGCAACTCCAGACTTATTCTATGAGTGTATAAGACACGTTCTCATAGTCACCAAAGCTAATACGTATATACTGTTTATTGCAATTAATTCCGCTTTTCGCATGAAAATACAAATTTATCTTGGCCCACAAGCAGTAACAGGGAAGGGAAAACACAGCATCTCACATACAACCTTTACACCAGTGGGAGCAGCAGCAGACTGCCTCACAAAAGCTGCCTGTTTTCCCTCCTACGGCCTGCGACCATCCAGCCTGGCCAGCAGCATGAACAAGAAAACCTGCAATGCAGTCACCGACCAAAGCTGCTCCAGCCCCAGCACAGCCGCCTTCTACTTGGCTCCCAAGGCCTTCCCTGAGCTGCAGCCTCACAGCCAAGGGCTGAAGCAGAGGCTTCAGCAACAACCACCTCCCCAGCTGCCAGAACCCACGTTTCTAACAGGGTTTCCAGTGGGAAGGGAAATTTTCCAAGGCTGCTCAGCCACACGCAGAACATCGATCTCAACCGACCTTCTCAAATTTGCATACCTACTGCCAAATTTCCTAAGAATATTAACATTTTCATCCAAGCCAACGCCATGCAATTAGAAACAACCACAGCTAACGCGCCAACGCGATAAAGGGGACGAGAAGCGGCCAGAAAACCCAGAGTTTAGGGATAACGCTGAGTAGACGGGCAGCAGCCCCTCGGTGCCCCGCGTGAAGCCCCCAGCGATGGCAGAAGCGTTCCCAAACACTTCTTGTAAGCCTAAAGGCGGCCTGCATCTCGGCCCCGGAGACACCGAGAGGGACTACAGAAGGTGACGAGCCCTGGATGAGGGGCAGGCCCCACCACCAGAGCGGCCCACGCCCCCCCCGCCCGCCACGCTCGGCCCCTCAGGGAGCGGGGCGGCCTCAGCCCGGCACCGGGCGAAGTACGGAGGGACTCTGGGGCGAGGCGACCAGCCCCCACCGGGGCCGGGGACGCAGACCCCCCTACCCGCCTCCGCTCTCCCCTCACCGATGAACTTGGCACGACTCATGGCGGCGGCGGCGGCGGGAGCGCGAGCCACGCGCCTGCGCGCGGCGACGTCCTCCACCTTCCCGTCAGCCCCCGCGCGCGCGAAGGTGAGGGGTAGGGCAGCCCGAAATGGCGGCCTACCTGACGCACCAGCAGAAGGTGCTGCGGCTCTATAAGAAATCCCTGCGGCACCTGGAGTCCTGGTGCATCTACCGGTGAGAGGCGAAGGGAGGTGCGCCTGGGGAAGGGGGAGAGACCTGTCCTTCCTAGGAGCGGGGCCTCTCAGCTCCGCACTTAGCCGGGGGGGGGGGGGAGCGGAGCTGGCCTTCTCCGCCGAGATGGGGCGTTGGGCTTGACTGGCACTTTGTCTTCTCCCCCCGCCCAGGCATGGCTGAAGGGGTGAGGAAAAAGCCTCTAGGGTAACTTGCCTGTGCCTGCCGCAGAAAAGGGTGATGTGGGAACAGGAGCTCCTCGGCGGCCCCTGGCCAAATCCTGTCTTTGGGCAGGGGTGACTGATGATATTGCCAAGCTTTGTTTCTCTATGCGATTAGTGTTTTCCTCCAACATGCGTCATTGTGCTTAACCTCTGTCTGTAGAGACAAGTACCGCTACTTTGCCTGCCTCCTGAGAGAACGATTTGATAAGAACAAGGATGTGAAGGATATGGTGAAAGCTACAGAGCTGCTGAAGGCAGGTGAGGAGGAGTTCTGGGCAAACCAGCATCCTCAGCCATACATCTTCCCTGACTCCCCTGGGGGCACTTCCTATGAGAGATACGAGTGCTACAAGGTAAGGTGGCCTGTAAGGTGTGTTACTGTGCTTACCTTACTCTTCTTATAGTGACTGTAAAGTGAGTGCTTGAAGTGGTCTTTCATAGGGCTGCAGCTTGACTCAGCAGTATCATTTTGTTAATAGTTTACTGCTGCTGAACGTCTTGCTGCTTGCGTGGGAGAAGCTGTCCCGCTTGTCTGATCCTTGCAAGTGGAGTTTGTTGGTTTGTCTGAACACAGCTAGCTTCTTTTTGCTGGGATAAGCATCTGCTCTTTTGCCAAATGGAAGCTGCCCTGTAATGAGTCAGGCAGGCACAGTGAAAAGGTTGGAGCTGAGCTGTGACAGTAAACAACGTGCAGGAAGCTGTGCTGCCCATTGTGGTGCCATCTGGTCACAGCCTTGGTTTCTCTCTGGCCTTGTCAGATGTCAGCTTGGCTGTTGGGGGGCTTCACTCAGTCCCATCATTCTTCCAGCATTTTGAGTTCTTCCAGCAAATTATCATTTCCCTTCATATCCTGTAGTGCCAGATACGTGTCTGTGCGTCACTGTGTGATAGGTGGTAGGCCTTAAAATAGAAGCTATATTTTTAGGCACTTTTAGAGGCTTTTTTTTCCCCTAGATTTTTCTATTTAGAAGTAAAGAAGCAAGTTTCTTAGAAAAAACACAGGGTTTTTGCTTTCTCGGTATTGTCTCTTAATGCATTACAAGAAGTTAATACTAACCTAGAGAGTGTATGCACCCGTTTTTTCCTGAATTTGAAGAAAGTGCTGACACAAGACTAGATCTGATCACATAAGAATGCATAGGAAGCCATGTGAAAGGAAGAATCTGACATAGATTTATCAGAGGCAGAAAAAAGAACATAGGAGTGAAAAAGGAAGAGGAGGGCTTAAGCTTATGCCAAGGCCATGGGCCTTAGCAGTAGCAGAGACAATGGTGAGAGAGAATCTGGATGGAAAAAAGGCCAGTTGAGCAATAAATGGTCAGGATTAGTCTTCATATAGAAACGTAAACTGGTTTATGTTCTCTTTTCTTTGCCCTGTTTGATATGCTAAAACTCTTAACAAAATGGCCGTCACAAGGATTTGGCTTCTAGGTATATCGGTGACTGTCCATTGTGGATGCTGCTACAAAATGTAATTTTTAGATCTCAGGCTGTTTGATGGTTTTAATTGTTGTTCGGTATGTGTGGATTTTATTTTTTTTTTAAATATTAGCAGCTTTGCTATTTCTGTTCAGTCCAAGGTTTACTCACTGATGAGAATCACAGCAGGAAACTGGAAGTGTAAATGTCACTAGGTGAATGATGGTATTGGAGCAGCTTCCTAATTTTCTTTTTTTAAGGATTGGGCGTTTTGGTGGTGGGGATTTTTGTTTTTTAATCAATGTTCCTGTATTTAAAACTTTAACATTTAGTGATATGCTGCTGCAAAATTTTAAAGTTTGCTTTTTTTCTTGACCGGACGTCTTGGAGGTCAGACCATTATCAAGATCTTAAAAGCCACTGATTTTTTAGTAGTTGTAGACAAGCAGAAATGAACTGTAAGGTTCTGTCTCTGTCAAATAAAAGAAATTAGTAGTTGGAAAAAAGAATCTCTCTAACCTGCTGCCTTTTGGAGAAGGAAGGCAAGAAATGAGATCTTCTCTTCCACCAGATGGAATTATTTTGAACTTTTTGAATAAATGGAGATGACCTGGGATTTGTCTTCAGGATGCTATGATTTAAGCAAGTTGCTATGATGTCTTCCTATGATTTAGGATAATGTGTGAAACACAGATTAAAAGTACTGACCTCTGCCATATAGTGCCTTCAGCCTAACAATAGTCAGGTAGCTCTTAAATGGTGCCTTTTATGTAGTACTTTATTTCCTGGGTTATTGATCCATTTTAATACTGGCTTCAGTGATTGAGTTTAGTTCTTTTGTATGTGTACTACATATGATTTCGTATATAAAAATAATATATATAAATTATATTTTTCTTTAACAGATTCCTGAATGGTGCTTGGATTACTGGCATCCTTCTGAGAAGGCAATGTATCCTGATTACTTTGCCAAACGAGAGCAATGGAAGAAGCTGCAGCGGGAAAGCTGGGATAAAGAGGTCAGTGCTTGCTCAAAGCAAATTAAAGCCTCTTTAGCACGCAAGTATTTTGTGTGACATTTAGATGTGTTCTTGGAAAAATTATTGAATGCCTACTGCAGTCTCATTTAGACTCTGCTTTATTAGAACTCTTGGCAGTGTGAAACACTGACTTGACCTAAAATGCCTACACAGTTATCTCGGAGTTACAGCTTCTTAAAGGCTGTGAAGGGAATTTGAAGTTAAAGCTGAACCTGCTATTTAGCACAGGGCTGTTGTAGCAGTTTAGCTAAAAGAAATTCCAAAGTGGGATGAGAGGAGATTAATACCAGAGAATTCCTCTTCTGGTGCTGTGAAGCTCTGACACTTTCTGGTTGCACATTTGAAAGTGACTTACCACAGTGTTCATCAGCTGGGAATCGAGACTAATTTCTGGCCATCCGAATCTGAGATTCAGTTGGGAAAAGTTGATGTTCTTTGAAGAGTTCTTCAGTTCAGTTGTTCAGTTGCTTGTATGTAGTATGGCACTCTTATCAGAATTAACATAGTGTCAGCCAGCACTTACGCTGCTTCAAGAAACATGTACTGAAAACATCTAAAGGGCTGTTGGTGGCATGCAGAAATTGAGATCTCCTATGGACTGGAATGAAGTTGTTCAGGACTTGTAGTTATCTGGCACCTTTCAAAGCAGCAAAAGAATTCAGTCTGTTTAACATAGCAATGGTAGACATGAATTATGTGGAAATAATGACCTTTTAAGTAAAATTTCTCTTGCAAATCACTCTTTACTCCTAAAAATTCCTTCTTAATTAGGTGATATGAGCTTGCAATGATTACTGAGTTTCAGTGAATACTGGGGAAACATGAAACCTGTCTGTCAGCTGAAGGCATTACTGCTGGTTCTTCCCTTCTGAAATGGGGGCTAGTTTTGATCACTGCCTGGGCACTGAAAACCACATTATGGAAATGCGTATTCATGTACTAAAGCAATTTTATGTCTTGTCTTCTAGATTAAGCAATTGGAAGAAGAAACTCCAGCTGATGGTCCAAGAACTGAAGCTTTGCCTCCAGCTCGTAAGGAAGGTCATCTGCCACCACTGTGGTGGCATTATGTTACGAGACCTCGTGAAATGCCCATGTAAAAGCATTACTTCACGTGAGAATCAAAGCGGTCTATCTTCTGTAGGCAGTTGACATGGCAGTGACCGCATGCTACTCTAAGTGATACAAAATAAAGCTAAATAAAGTAAAAGAGAAGGCATTTTTCTGACATACTCTTCTATAGCATGCACACTTCACTTCCAGTTTGTGCAGTGTAGAATAGGTGACTGTTAACATCTACACTATATATCTAAAATGTCAGAGAACACTGACCAGCCTGTGAAGAAGTCTTAATGGGGTAGTGACACCAGAGCAAGTTTTACTGCAGCTTTCACAGTAAGAGTCAGAAAACTCAACTATGAGACTGAAAAAATAATTGGCCACATAAAACTCATATTCCCAGAGAAGGAATGTGAGCTTGGATGGGCAGGAGAGGCAGATTTGCTGGGGGATGGGATCAAATGAGATGAGAAGGAACTATGGCAAGAGCCTGTCTCCCACTGTGGAGAAGGAGGGAGGGAGGGAGGCCTGGAGGGGAGTGGATGAAAATCAATAAACAATTCATATCAGCACCATAACTTGGAATCTGGTACTAAATACAGGCAAGGTGTTAAAGCTAGAGTTTCAAGATACTGACAGCAACAGACATGAGCTTTGATTGCTCCTGGTCTGAGGGTATTTCTAACCTTGCTTAGGGATAAAGACTTCCTGCCCTCCCTCCCCACCTCATTAGGCTCTTTTTGCTGCACTTTTCACATAGGTATCACATCTCACAAGACATAAACCTTCCTTACAATGATGTCATGCTGTCTTCCTGGCATGGATGACACTGCTGTAGAGCAGCAGGAAGTTCATCCCCATACAACCTGAATCCTAGATACCTACAGAGCTGTATCAGTTAAAACAAGAAGTGGCCTGCTGGGGAATATGGCTCTTGTACACTTGTGTACAGGTCCCATACATACAGTTATAGCAGGCAGTGCGATACAATGAACCGGGTACAAAAAGCTGTTTGCTCTGATATAAGACACAGGGAATTCTGCTAACACTTTCAACTAACCACTCCGTAAGAGAATAGATGGGGTATAGCCACCTAGTAAAAGCTCAGGAAAACCTTTCTCACCTTCTGCTGTTCTCCCATTTTTAGGGCTAGAAGAGAGGAGATTTGGGTCACCTAATCAGACTTTCATTTTACAGAAGTTACTTGATTGTACCATACTTAACCCTAAGGCTTAATTTTTCCATGAACTCCAACTTACTTAAGGCTTGAAAGTAACAGGAGGTGGCAAAGGCACTAACTTCAGCTGTTCTAAGGCCTAAACATAGTTAGCTTGGGTATAAGCTAAGGCTTTAACCTGGCTGGTTTTTAGAAATTTTACTTCGCCCTCTTCAGTAAGTCTGAGTTTTGGGAAAAAAAAAAACCAAAAAACTCCAGAAAAATGGCTTCACATATTCCACTGCTGAAATTTTCATTCTTACCAGGGAGCAGGATGGGTTTGCGCTCCGTCAGTCCAAAGGCAGTAGCAGAATTGAGGCTGTTCAGCACACCGTTCGGCTGTGTTTACCTACTTAACACAGAGCTGTGGCTTCCCTCCGCTCAGGTATTGGTGCTTTGCTCTGGTGTTCTTCCATACTGAAGGTGCTTATTCAGAGTTCCAACCTGCGGCCCTTTTTCTAACTTGTTACAGGTTTCTAATACAGGGTCTGCACTACCAGCATTGCACTTCCCCAAATTAAAAACACTGGTTTGCTTTAGCAGCCACTTGCATTAGCCCGCGTACGAAAGGCCAAATCCAGGTGTGGGCAAAATTCATGGGGAAATACAACATCGCAGGGCAAACGCAGCTTAGCTGCCCTGCCCCTGAGCCCGCTTTGCCCTCTCCCCCAGCCTGGCACAAGCAGCCCTTGGCTGGGAGCTGGAGCCGTGACTGGGTGTGTGCTGGTGGCACGGGCAGGCTGGTGCCAGAGCGCTCCGCACCTTCATGGGGTAGAGCCAGTGGGAGCAGTCAGCTGGTGTACACCAAGTGCGTCTTAACTTCTATTCAGACAAATACAGGCTTACAAAAAAACATCTTCTCTTCCTGCGCCTTACCTTCCCCCAAAACCCTACTCCTCTGCTTTGTTTGTCTGGTCACTATATTCAGAAATCATGCAAACACCAAAATACTCCTTTTTTAATTATGTGTGATTTTGCACCCTCCCTCCCAGTCAGCCAACCAACTTTTTTTTTTGCTAGAAAACAGAGCAAGAAATCCCACCTGACTTTTACAAACAGCTGGACAGGTCTGACAGATGTTCCCTAACATGATGTATACCCCACATCCCAGCATGAAAAACAACAACAAAAAAATCCACCCTACAACAAAAAGATTTTGCACACGCAGCTGCAAGTGAACCAGATTCACTGTAGAAGCAGCAGGGATAAACTTCAAAACAAGAGCACCCGGCTAAGCATACTGTACATGAGAAACAGCCATAAAGAGATGGGGAATGAAACTAGAATCCTTTTGGAGTCAGGACATATTTCCAGCCAAACCACCTTGAGTTTTCTTTTAACATCTTATGACTGTGTTGGCACTGGCTGAGATTGAGTTAGTTTTCCCCATAGCAGCCCTCATAGTGCTGTGCTTTGCATTTACAGCTAGGAAGGTGTTGCTAACACACCAGTGTTTTGGCTACTGCTGAGCAGTGCTCCCACAGCATCAAGGCTGTCCCTCCAACATTCCCCCTCACCAGTAGGCTGGGGGTGGGCAAGATCCTGTGAGGGGGACACAGCCAGGACAGCTGACCCAAACTAACCAGAAGGCATGGGCTCCTCTCTCCACAGGTCCGTAGGTCCTGCCAGGAGCCTGCTCCCGGCTCACAGTCTCCTTCGGGCACCCACCTGCTCCGGCGTGGGGTCCTCCCCAGGCTGCAGGTGGAGACCTGCTCCACCGTGGACCTCCCTGGGCTGCAGGAGGACAGGCTGCCTCACCATGGTCTTCCCCACGGGCTGCAGGGGAATCTCTGCTCCGGCACCTGGAGCACCTCCTCCCCCTCCTTCTGCACTGACCTGGGGGTCTGCAGGGCTGTTTCTCTTACATGTTCTCACTCCTCACTCCAGCTGCAGTTTCTGTGCCCCCTGCAACTTTTTTTTGCGTTCTTCAATCTGTTCTCCCAGAGGCACTACCACTGTCACTGATGGGCTCTGCCTGGGCCAGCGGCAGTTCTGTCTTGGAGCCGGCTGGTATTGGCTCTGTCGGACACGGGAAGCTTCTAGCAGCTTCTCACAGAAGCCACGCCTGTAGCCCCCCAGCTGCCAAAACCTTGCCACACAAACCCAATACAGTGATGAATAGAAACCTCTGGACAAAAATGAATCTATCGCGGTGGCAAGGAAATGAATTAGGCCACTGCGTGGTAGCTGCAAGTGGGAGCAATGTCCTCCCTCTCTACGTTTGTTTCTGAGAAAGCTGAACCAAAGAAAGTCTTTGATCACTCAGGGGCACGTGGGAGACAGCACTGGTGATGTGCTTGATAAATTCTGGCTGTACGCATGGGCAGTGTGGACAGCAGCAATCTTCCTCCTCTGGCAAAAGGAACTGCGGTCCAGCACTGAAGCAGATGCACAAACATGTTGGGTTATCTGTGCTTCTTGGCCAGATAACAACAGTGAGGGACAGAGAAATGTCATCAGTTATTATTTAATGGGAAGTTCCATGGTTAGCACTGCACCTTTGCTCTGCTACTACCCTTCCAGTGCACATCACTAAAACACAGTTACATGCAATTTTATTTACTTGTTTTTTAATTCTCTCTTGCTTCTGTTACACGCAGATGGAACCTGTGTGATTTTCAGAAGTCTGATGAAGGACACCATTGACATCCAAAGCTCTGGAAGCAGAAAGTCTTTAAGAACCGAAATACAGAAGTTTTCCAGCAGTTCTTTATTTATAATGTAGGCTTAAGCAATCATTACAATGTAGAAGGGAGACACACTTACAGCAATTATTTATACCAGTTTAGAACAAAAAACTGCACAGGGAGAGGTCAACTCTCAGTACAAACTAGCAACTAAACCACAATAATTTACCATTAGAAACATTTTATTTTTTTAGCTGTGACACTGCTTTTACAATATGCAAAAACACAAACAATAGAACTATCCAAAGTGTTTTGTCACATTCTTTCTACATTGAATTTGGCAACATTTTATATTAAATTTTACTGATTATACTAACGTTTAAGAACTAAACAAGTGAAAAGCTGTACTCAGGTACAGTTACATCCATTTATTTCAAAGGTTTAAATAACACTTTTAACTATTGAGATTATCTCCTAGCAGTTTTTGTTTATGCAAAAACCATCTCAAAGCCTCATTTGCACAATGCATCAGCTACTGTATCAAGATTGGTGGGCTACACCACAGGCACTACTGTTTATTATATTCTGTAATAAGGAGCTTGTTTTTCAAAGAAAGGAAGGTTTAATATTTTCTAAGAATCATGCCTTTTTTTTTTCTTTTTGCTTTTAAGCCATAACAAAAAAAAAAAGGTTAGCAACCACAGCAGTGTAAAATGTTATATAGAACACAGTGACTACACAATTACTAGAAGTTTCACATCCAATGCAGTTATGTATTAAAGCATAAGAGGTTATGTAGGCAAGTCTAGAGCCAACAGAAATCTGCAGAGTGTGTGGTGGAAACTAGCCCCTTATATGCATTATTTGGTGCACTTTTAAACAATCGCGGATGCGCAAGTCTGGTGTCCATCCACGCGTGGGTCTGCCGTGGGTGGGCAGATGGCATCCTTGTGGACCGTCTGGTCGGAACACATGTCGTGCCCTGGGGTCTGCATATTTCTATCAGCTTTAGGAGACGGGTATTGCAGCAATAACTTACTTTTACTTTAAGGAAAAAATCCAACTCTTAATAATTCTACCAATAGCGTTCCAAAAAACATGACTTAAAGTACAAAAAAAGAGAATATAGTGGTCAGACTCCCAGTATTATCAAAAAAACCAGTATCTCTCCCCACCCCCCACCCTTCACCCCTTTCTTTTCGGTATTTAAGAAAAGCCAATCAACTGCCATTTAAAAGAAGTTAAGAAAAACAAGCCCCTGTATTGGAAAGAAACATTCGCAGTTTATTAGATCACAAGCTGGTTACACCTGTCAAATTGTTAAGTGTTTTCTCAAAATATTTGGGCTTTCCAAGGTGCCCAGCCTGCTGGGCACAGTCAGAAAAAGGCATTTTGATAATATGTAAGAACTCCCTGCTTGCATTTTAAAAATGTTTTCACATTTGTAACTGCCTTAAGCCTGTCGTCCTTGTTTGTATTCAGTGAAAGGATGAGTGGAACAAAAAGTGAAGGTGGAATAACCAAGCCTACACAGTTAAGGCTGCATGCATGTGACTGAGAGTTGTTGCTGTGCAGTCAAAAAAGAAATGTGGAAAAAACCCAGTCTTTAAAACACCCTACAGAAACAAAACACTGCAATCCAATATGGCTTATTCTGATGCATTTACCATGAAGCTACTAGTAATTAATCCTACTAGGCTACTTTTGTGCAACAGCATCTGCTATTTTGATGGCATCTCCCTCCCCCCCCACTACCCCCCAAATACTCTACCAACTGCAGGTTTCTTCCTTGCTTTATATATTGCTTTTATTGTCAATTTTTAGTCCTGCTTTTCAAACTTTTTTTTGAATACTTAAATGAGGATCTGTTCCTTACAGCTTGACTTAAACTTTAAAATAAGTCCCATTGTTTTGTTTTGTGTTTTAACCTCACTATTACAAGGCGCTCTACAAAAGCTTGCAAAAAAGCCAGATTTTCATTAAATCCCTTTGCTGAAGTTAACTACTTGACATTTTTTTTTTCTCCTATGATTTAAAACTTTACAAAGAGAGTTATAAAAAAGGTAAATGGGATTTGGCACCTTCAGAAAAAATTAAAAGTGTAACTTAGATCAAAAAAATGCAGAAACAAAATCATTGATATTTACAAATTAAAACATCAGTGAAGATTATGTCTTACTACGCTCTTTCACCTTGTTTTCTCTTTTAGAGTACTTTCAGACTGTCTGTTACCGAGTATCTTAAAAAATTCATTGATTACAGATTGGAATGGATAGAGACAAATTAGTTTCCTCACAGTTCCTTCTCGGCAGCTAGTACTCTGGCAGCTTTTCCGCTCCTAGGAAATACGAGGTGCTGAGCGATCATTCGTGGTCGTCTTCTTCAGTTTGACACCACGCCGAATGGCATTCAGCATATCTTCACCTTGCGGGACGTCCCCAGGACTCAGCTCTCCGGGATCAAGCTCCGGCTGGCCCGCGGGCGCGAGGGTGCTGACACCATCCCGGTCGCCTTCTTCCCCCTCGCTCTCAGGAACCGCTTGCCTCTGCTCGTCGGCAGCACTCAGTTTCTGGCTTGACGGCGGAGGGTTGACAGATGCTTGTCCGCTCCAGGAGGACGAGGGCATGCTGGTGACACTTTGCCCACCATCTCCTGCTGCCGGAGACTCGGGACTTTGCTCGGGACATTCTTCTGTCCCAGCGAGGGTGCCAGGCAGCCCTCCTGGGATATCGGGGACAGTTGGTGTTTTGACAGGAATCACTGGCGTCTTGATCGGAATCGGACCTCCCCCTATGGTGCCGCGTCTGACTGAAGGCTTGGTGGAAGGGGTCCGTCTGATGGTGGCGACGCCGGGGGTGACAATGACTGGTCCAAGCGTGGTTGGCAGACCTGCGGTGGAAGCAGGACGCTTGGTTTGAAACATTCTGCGATAGGACTGGCTAATGTCGCTGTTTCTTGGGATGGTGGAAGATTTGTCAAACTCTTGTTGTTCTGCCTCCTGGTCACCACTCACAGAGAAATAATCATAATCTGAAACTGATGCCAAAAGACAGAGTTACGAACAAGCTGGGGAAGACAGCTGAGTCACGTCAGCAAGTCTAAAGTATGTATAATCAAAAAAGTATATATAAGCAAAAAAGCCTAGAGGTCAACAGCAATTAGGAGAGGTTTCACGTCTAGCAGGAACAAAGCCTGAGATGTTGTGACCAAGATTCTCAGACTGCGTGGCTGAAGGCAGGCGCTACAGCAGACCAACCCTAAAGCTGCAGGGTGCCTACATCTCTTGTGAAAGAGAACGAGAACTGTACACACTCAGTACCTTCCCTGAAAAGAACTAAGTAAGTAATGAAGACTCAGTGTTTGTTGCCAACATGAAGACACCAAAACCAGCATCCTACAGGCCATATGCTACCACTTGTAGATACAAATACTTAAAACAGTCAGTGACTAAAAAGCATACTTTAGACTAGGCAATGTGGGGCTCAGGGGACTGTGTACCAGTGATTTCAGCAGCAAATTTGCTTGTTTTGCAAACAAAGTAAACCCCAGCTGTCAGCTCTGAAAACTCAGTCTCAGCTTTAATAATTGCATTGGGTTCCTTCCTTTCCACGTAACTGCTGAGCCAAGCTAGGCCCTCCACAAGCCCTACTGCCTCTTGTGATTGCACAGCATGACTAATCTCAGCTGAGCAAATGATATGGCTGCTGAACTGCAAACACCAAACTCAGTCCCTCCCAGCTTGCTGCTGGTTCTGAAACAGGGTACAAAACCCAACACCTTACTGCAGCTTCCCAGGTATGCCCAAGTTAACGTCTCCAATGGATTCTTTTTCCAATTACAAAATTTCTGCTTAGGTAGGAAATTAAAGGTCACAAAGGGAGACCAAGAGCAGATTCAGAGTACTGACAGAACAAGAAAACAAAGCTCATGAGTGTGTATTTGCTAAGACAATAGCTCTGAAAGGACATTGCTACCACAAGAAGTGTATGATGCAATACCAGTGTCATTCCACTCAACCCATGAAATACAATTCTAGCATCTTCTTTAAAATGGCAGCATCCTTAAGCTAAAACTCATTCTAGTAATGCACAAGAAAATACAATCGTTCAGTACACTGTGGAGCAACCCAGGTTTCTATTTTGTTAATAAATCCAGGCTGCATTCCAAGCTGGAAAAAACTTCACAATAGCAACGTTCACCCCTTTCTCCCCAGCTGACTACAAAGCCAGTGAGTGATAGCTACTGGAATATAGCCCCCTGGCACCAAGGGGTGAGCGTATGATGGCTAGGTTGGGAACGCTCTGAAAAAGAACATCTCTTGGATGGGTACCTTGAGATGGGATCGTGTCCTCTGAACAGCACGGAGTTGTTGTCTGGGTGCTGTAGCCGCTGGAGCACTGCAAGGAATCCCGACTGCTCCTCTGGGTGTCCAGCTGCAGCCCTCTTGTCAGAGCGAGCGCCAGCTCCTCGCAGGCCTCCATCTCCTCACCCTGCTGGTTACACACAGGAAAGAGACTCAGTACGTCTAAAAGGGTTAGTCAGTCTTCACTGACTACTACCTGCCTCTCCTCCCAAGCAGAGCCAGTCATCACCATCACAGCCCAACAGGATTGTGTCCATCCATTTACTAGGTCTTAGAGACAGACACTTCTTCGGATGCTGTTGCTCTACAAATGCCAATACCCAATGGCACAGTCTCTCATGCCCACACGATTTCCACTGACCGTACCCCCACCACACCAGTACTGCTTATCGGATAGACACGTGCCAACATAAAGCAAATCGAAAAGTATTGGCAGGAGCTAGCACAGACAGCATATTTGAAATTAGAGCTTCACCCTTGTGGCAGCCGACACCGTCATGCTCCGAGGTCTCTGGGCCTCCTCAGGGGGCACGGGTGGCCCACTCTGAGCTCCTCCGTTGAGATCTGGTTCGCGCTTTTCTTTGCGACGTTGCAATGTGTTCACCATTGGTTGATCGTATGGGCCTGGTTTGGCCCAGTCCTAAGGAAACATGCTTGTTAGTGATAGCTTTCATCAGTAATTGTGCTTTAATTACACATAAAACTATGCAAAGGGGCAATTTTAATGCAACAGATTATGTATCAAACTGGATATGCCTTTCTGAATAAGGCCAGAAATCAATTAATTTTGAGGATATTAAAAACCTTCACTTATAAAACCTGTCTCCTTTATGAAAGGGAAGCTAAATTTCCTATTCTACCTAAGTGTTCTTATATGAAGACATTTAAAATTTTAGTACTATTATTTTCTCTAAATGAAATTCCATTGTGTTAAAGCCTATATTTTCAGAAATTCAAATGCAAAAATCACTGGCACACAGCAGAACACATACATAAATGTCCAATCAGCGATGTAACTGTGCTAGATGTACACAAGTTCTAGTATTACGTGCTGTGATGCATGTCTTCAATTCTGAAAAATTAGGCTTGAACGGATTTTTGATACATATTACAGGAGCAAGTTACTCTGAGTAATCTCTCAGTTTACTTACTAGCTGAAATCCAGTTTATAATACTGATTTGTACTGAAGAAAGACTAACTTCACTCTGAATTACTGGTGCCAAATTTGGAACAGAAATTCCTCAGGCCATGAGGGCTATATTCACTCAGGGCTCTATTAAGCAAAGTCCTGAGGGTGTCCAGAAACCACACGTTGCACACAAAGAGCAGGATTGATCAGTGACTTGTGCTGGGACACAGAACCACTGCTAAGCAGCAGCTCCCCAAATGTGAGCTGCTGCAGGGGCAAGCCCAACCCTAAGAGAGTTTTCCCTCACCAAGACAAGGGGTGCTTTAAAAATAAAACTGGAAGAAACAACTTGTGCCTGAGAACGGGCCAGACACCTCACCACTGGCAGCAGCTGGCTGCCGGGCAGCCTCCGCACAGCCTTCTGATAAATAATGATGGGCTAAGACCACACTACAGATTTTTTACTGGCATGTGTCTCAGTCCAAGTGAGAGAGAAGTGCAAGGCAGCTGTACTGACACAAGCCCCTTGTGCAGACAGGTATTTTGGTTTTATTAACACATACAGAACTCTGCTTGGCCTTAACAGCTATGTCTTTGCTGTAAGTGTTTTGCTGTGAAATACACTGGCAAAGTGCTTCTAGCACAGACACAACTAATGACCTTGAAGCCCCAGGACCACTGTGGCCACCCTGTTTGTATGTCTCAACAGTCTCCAGCTGCTGGAGAGAGAGATTAGGGGATCTGTAACAAGGTATCTCAATTTACACATATAAGAAGGTCCTATGGTGCCTATGCATCCACAGGCATCTAAGACCTGGGCAGCTGCTATCAACTGCACACCAGCCTTGCGAAGACTCAGGGCAACAGACAAGAGACCTTCTCCCCCCTTGGTCCGGGGCAGTGTCTCCCAGGGGAACTGCCTGGCAGGGATGAGAGTCAAGGCTCTGGCAGAGCAGAGGCATTCTGATGCCAAGGAAGATCCCTGCAGATCCAGCTGGAGCAACTGAAAGAAGTTACTACCCTCTGACTTTTTCGGTGGTCTCACCCTAGACAGCAAAGCAAGCTGGGTGAGCACTTTCAGTCTGTGGCAGTAAAGCTAGGATAGCTTCAGTCATCACTTAGGTTCACCTGGTGACGAGTGCCTTCTTAAACCACTCCAGCTAGATCTACAAGAGCATGCCTGCCTACAGCCAAGGTGGGGGCCAAGCACAGCCGCCGCAGTGAGAACATCATGTTGTTCAATGTATGGTTTCCTTAAGCCAAGTGGATGTCAAGCCTGCACTTCCCTGCTCCCTGCTCAAGTGAGTGCTTTGAACAGTGCTAAACAAGCTCTTTTCTCGCTGAATAGAGCCCAGAGTGCTTTCACCAACGTCCCAGAGTTAAGCTACTCCTTCCTACCTAGGCGTTGTCAGCTTTAGTATGTTGCCAGAATAGACAAGGTCATTCAGAAATATCGACTACCAGATTTTAGCTCTCTGATTATCACCATGCAATGCCCATTCAGAGTGATATTAAACAGAGCAAATCAACAAGTAATTACATGGATCGAAAGGTAGCAACAACTGCCGTGTGCGCACTGTTGGTATGAGGAGGTGAGGACTGCCACAACAAAAGGAACACAAACCTTCCAGCTAGGGATCTTAGATGATGGTAACATGCCTGGCCCAATGGTGTAATAATGAACGTAGTCTGGAAGGAGGGCTGAGGGAGCCCGAGTCCACGCGCGGGAGACAGGCGGGAAATGAGGGAAAGGACCTGCACCAACTGAAGCTACGGATGGGTCACTTGATAAACTACAGTGATAAAACCCATTAGACAACTGGAAACGAAACAAATAAACAAACAAAAACAGAGAAATTAATATAAACAGAATGAATATGAAAATATACTGCGACTCTGATGTTCTAGGGAGAAAACTTCTGTATCTTAAAACAAAAGAAAGAAAAATCTTAGCTTTGCTGCAAATAAACAACAGAAAATTGATACAATGCTTGGTTCAGAAGTCAGATTGCTTGAAAATTGTTATTTGGTATAACAAATTTCAGACATCAATCTAGCAGTCATTGTCTCCAGGCTGAGCAGCTTTGCCTTCTGTCCATGAAAGCAGCACACTGTGAAAAAGCCTTTGCAATTTAAGTACCCTGCAGACTGTGGACATAGAAACAAAACATTTCCAATACTAGAAGTGTTTGCATTGGTGGCGTTTATTCTATGTAGCTGGACAGAGAGGAAAAGCATACAGCCTTCAAACATGACGTGTTCTGGCTGTGTGATGGATGACATGGAAGAAAAAAAAAAGAAAAAACCAACAGCAAGGATTTACCAGATGAGAATGGAGACCGCTATCACTTCCTCCCTCGATGCAGAGTGTATCCCCTGTAATTTATTCCAACCATGTGCGTTTTGTTTTCCTTTTTGTTTTGGTCAAAACCAAACCCCAATTGCTCAGTGTAATGTGTGCTACCTAATGGGAGAGAGGGGAGAAGGCACAAACAGTACAATCTGGGCAAGATGCTCTTTGTTAGGCAACCAGCTGGGTTTGGGCAGCGTTCCACAATCTCTTTGAGTAGAAAAGGTGGACGATGAGCTTTTCTTAGAAAATTACCTCTGTAAAATGCCCAATTTGTAGCTTCCCCCTAGCAGCTGGTTTAAAGGCAAGTGTTGCTGTGGTTTATTCAGATTCATTTCTAAGGGAGCGTGCAACAGTTCCTATTCTCATCTTCACAGAGAAGAATCCTGGCTGCGTCCCATGCACGGCTTTTTTTTTTTTTGTCCAAATGTTGCTGGGTTTGGATAACGAGCTAGTAGGTTTGTATGTCTTTGAGATGAAGTTTTTCACCTTATCTGTGGAGGCCCAAGCCCCCATGGTGGAGCCTGAGCTGACTGAGGTGGGGGAACTGCACTCGCTCACTGACTGGCAGGTTTCAGAGGCTTCTGAAGAGGCAGAGCTGGACGAATTCTGCAGCATAAAACAGCACCGCAACGCAGGGAAAGAATACACAAGCCACCAAAAAAGAAAGAAAAAAAAAAAACACAAACAAAAAAAAAGACAAAAAGCACATACACAGAGACACACACAGGAGAGAGGGAAGGATGAGAGAGCAAAGGGTTAGGGTTTTAAAAATCAATTAGAAACTGCTCAAAACCATTGCTAATGTTCAGGAAATCTATGAGAAACAAAATAAGCCATTTGCTTAGTGCGAGAACTTGCCACACTGCTTGAGAATGAGGGAATCGAGGCAGCAATCTCAACTCCTCATTGCAATTTCAGCGTCTCAATTCTGTCAGCTGCCTCAGAGCAAGAAGCTGAGGGAGCTGAGGACACCTATGGTCCCAACATGCAATATACTGAGACAACTGATTTATACAGAAAAGCAGATCATCAGTACTTCAAAGACACAAAGTTTAGATTTAAAACATGGAGCAGCAAACATCACTTACATTCACAAGTTCTCGGGTAGTCTGATCTGCAAAAGCACTTGTGAAAAGCTCATCTGAGTTCAAGTATTATGGAACAAAGAAAGAAGTGATACTTACCAAAACTGGAGGTTTCCAAAGTGCATTATCGGTATGCATGTGCCTCTGGAGGTAGTATGCATACACCAAAAGCACTCAAACTTTTCTGCCCAGCAGCCAATGTGAAGGTACATGTACTCTGCTGAGTGTGTAAGTGGTGGCATGTGCTTGCCACCCACTTTCTCTTAACAGCAGAGACAGAAAATAATCAGGGGCTTGGATAGAGTGAAGGAAAATGCAGGACACAGAGTGTCCATCAAACACGTCAAACAGTTTGCTCCTAGCTAGGAACTTCTCTTCCAATTTTCAGTGCATGCCTTTGTGTACATTTGCTGCTGTAAGACCTTTGCAACAGCACGTAATTCACCTACAGGCAGGCCAAGGTGAATAACCATGTGGACCATTTTATCAACTACAATGCTGTTGTACATCTCCCCCTTGAAAGTGGCATCCCCCCCAGCAGGGCTGTGCGTGCAGGTCCAGCTGAGTCCTTGGAAATGGTCAAGAATACTGGCAAAGTTCTCAGGGCAGTACTGAGCTCTATTGACTGTCAGGAAATTCAACACTAGCAAGACTAATTTATCCTTTGGTAGTCTGAGACCTGTGAAGCAAGTCCATCTAAGGATATCCCTAGCATTATATTTTATGACGGCAGAGAGAATGCGCCCTTGTATCAAGTTTGTGTAGCAAAGCCTCAGATTTCAAGGAATGACATTTTGAAGAGGAAGCGAAATCTCATCTGAAATAAAATTTCATCAGTTAACCTTAGATGAGATCTTGGGGTGAACCTGCAATAAAAAGATAGCTGGATAAGAGGCACTGTAGAGGAGTAATTACTGCTAACACCCAGAAGTTGCCTCATTGCTCACCAGAAGCTACGTATAAGGAATGTATAGCTAATTGCCTAGGTAAAAGGAGATGTCAGTCTCCCGAGATGGAACACCATCACCATAAGGATTTTGGTGAAGACTACTGGGGCTGCTGAGAAGCCAATACGAAATCAGCATCTTGAGCTTATTAGCAAACTGTGGATTTAAATGAAACTTTGCAAAGGCTGTTAAAAAGTAAAAAAAGCATGTAATGTGGTGGATTATTTTATAGAAATAACGCATATCCCATCTTATGCTGACATGAGATCAGATCTCTGGGTGATCTGTCAAATGTGTTTAGGGTACAAAGTAAGCTCAGCTAACAAGGCTCATATTCGAAGTGCAGTAAGAGTTGAGGTGAACGTAAGATCAGAAGAAACTGCAACAAATGACACATAGGTGTTAAGGAGAGAAGTGAAAAGTATGCAGTGGGGTACCCAATGATGCAGTGGCTTGATGTTTTGTGCAACTTGTCACATTGTTGATTTAATGCAACTTCTTTTACAGGAGAAAAGCCTCTAAAAATAAGAATACCGACAAATATAAGCTGCAGTTGACTCTGTCATCAGACATAACTACAGTACACTAAACGGAGATGAACCTATTTCTTCTATCCTTCGAGAAAAATACATTATAGAAAATTAGCTTTTACACTAAAACTCCAGAGTTCTGCCCGACATTCCAGGTAGCTCAGCAAAAGAAACTGTTTCAGACTCCCCATGAGAACAAGTCACAGTAGTGTTACACTTTGGCCAGGAAAAAAAAAAAAGAGAAAAATATAATTTCAGAAAATGCTTTCTGAAACCTCATGCTTATGGCCTGAAAGACCCTCTTGGGTCTGCATACTCTGCACATGGCAGGACAGACAGTGAAGGGTCTGAATTCCAAATAGGGTATCATGCTACCTTGTTTTCTGCAGATGTCCCAATGATGACAAGTGAGAATTTGGAGTTTACATCTGATAGACTATTCCTGTTTACAAAGCCAGAAACTTCATGAGATTACGTCAAGTAATGGTAGAAATTAATCATAAATGAGGTTTACAAACAACAAAGCCAGATGTAGCAAATAGATGGAAAAAGGCCAAAAATGCAAATTCCGAAGATGCAAAGAATTGTTCGATTTACTTGGCGTATGGGGAAAAAAAGATTGGAAGTGGTGAAATTATTTTTGCAATAAAGTGACTCTAAGGTGGAAAAAAGATGAAAGGACAGACCCTCCCACTAACTTAGTGTGGCCATTTTAAGCAGGCAAAGCTAGACAAAGGATGAACCAACATGTCATGGGGAAAACACCTTGGTAGTTGAAAGAAATGCAAAAGGTAGTAGGGTAGGGAAACATGGTCTCCTTTTCTCTTGAGAAACTTGCACGGCACAGGGAAGGGGAGGCTCTGGTCTTGCTAAAAAAGGATTACAACAGTGAGAAAATGATGGAGAGGGAGGCAGAATACTGAACTTCTGAAGGAAAAATGTAAAGAAAACTCAAGTGGCAGCAGGTCAAAGGCTGCCTGGATCAGACTGCAGAAACAGTCTTGAACAGTTGGACCCTGGTGTGGAAAGCACAGACCACCCTTCATTTCTTAGCAGAAAGTACATGAGGGGCTGAAAACAGAAACTGCACAGTTACTGCTTGGGCAAAAAGTCTCCAAACTTTTGAGTGCTTGTTCCAGATGCACACCCACCGGCACACGCACTCCTGGAAGCACACATACAGGCAAACACCAGGCAGAGCAATTTCTACTCCACAACTCATGGAGTGAGAAATTTGGTTGTGGGATTATTTTAACTTATTTTAGTCAATTCCTTTTTAAAATGATTGTTTAGTTTGAATTGTTTTTAAAATTAGTTCTTTCATTTTAGCTATTTTAACACGGGAGATTTTTTTTTTCTTCCCACAGCTGTGATAATGCTGGTTTTGCTCTGCTCTCAAACCATCTCTTCTGAGAAAAAACCTTAAAATTTAACAGTATCAGCAGAACGCTAAAACGGTGCTCTGCACAGTAACAAGTTCCTCAATATATGTTATACATATGTAGCTTGGTATCTGGTCTCTCAGACATTGAGCCATGGCTTGTTCTTGGATAGTGTCCCACTGCTTGGTGTGGTATGTATGAATTCCAGCAAAGATACAAAAAAAAGAGCTAGATTTTGGGCTACTGGACTGTATGATTATATTTTCCATCTGTTGTCCTACTAACCTATAAAAACACCACAGTTATCTTGGATTACTTATATCCTTTGTTTGCTACATTTTCGATTCAAATATAGCATTGCTTTCGTAACTCCTTCCCTTCCTCAACTGCTAGACAGAGTTTCCTGAGCAAGGGTTTCCCAGGAGACCAAATCCTAATGAAGAGCTTGGTCCAATATCCCTCCACAGTCAGTGGAAGACATCTCAGTTACCATTCAAAAAGCTTTGGATAGTGACTCAAGGTCACCTCCTCCATTTGTCTCGCTTCCAGGAACATGTCTCTACTGACCCCTGTTTTCTAGTCAGGGACAAACTGTTGGGAAACTTAACTTAGAAAGTGTAGGAGAAGCAAATACCTGGTGATAATTTACAGATGCATTTCAGTTGTTTGGGTTTTTTTTTAAGGTCTGATTTGGGAGCATTTCTTAATTTACATGGGAAACTGAATAGATATAACAATGTATTTCCCCTATTCTAACTTCAAGCTATTTCAAGCAATGGAGTTGCCTCAAAACCAGAATCTTTCCAGCTTGCTAATCTGTACACGCAGAAGCAAGTTCACATTCAGTTTCCCTCTACTTCACTGTTTAGGGAAAGTGATTTCCAGAATATTCTAACAATAAAGACTTAGTCCTCTGCTGTTTGATAGCACATCAACAGTTTTTTTCTCTTCTTCATCTGCTTCTTTCTCTCCCCTTACTTTCATCTCCACGAACTCATAAGTAGCCTCTAAAATTCAGCTGTATAATTGCTTCCCCTGTGCGTGTTCACCCCAAGTCCAGTGGATCCTTCTATTATTATTCCCCTAAATCAAACATAACTGTCCTACTACCATATTGCTGCATTGCAGATACTCCCAGACCTCAGTTTGTCTACTACATAGGGCAACATGTGGGTTTAGCAGCACCAGCCATGTTCAGTGTTCATCCAAGAGCAGCAGCGGTTCTGTCAGAAGGGCTTTACATGGTGTCAGTCCATGCCATGGGCAATGCTGGCCAGGGCTGACCTCAAACCTGGCATTTAGAGAAACTGTTCTGTTCCAGAGAGAGACCTGTGATGCTTTTCCAGCTGTTCAGCTATACCCAAATGTCCTTGCTTAATTAAGATTAAAGCATTCTACAGTGACCTTTCCACACGTACAGCTATCTGGTACAGGCTAACACTTTTACTGCCAGTGATGTTAACAGCAATGCTGCAGAAAAGAGATCGTACTAAACCAGTGTAAGGGCAGAGTCCAGTTTTCTAATTGCTCTTTTTTCTATCTTCTATGCAGAGTGTGTTAACTGTAGAGACTTACTACTCAGCAACTATAGGCTGAAAAGCAGTCTTCATTTTGCCAGTCATCTCTCCGCTGGTATAGTCTGTATCTTGTTTAAACCTCTACTTATTCCTTGTTTGAGATTTCCCCCTCCTCCCCCATCTGTGACTTTGAATAAATTCCATTTAATTTTCAGTCACACTTGCTTGTCTAAAAGGTATTTGAGAGCATAAAAGCTTCACATAGCTCATATATTCTCATTCCTATAATATGAGAACATTATGTAGCCCCCTTCTACTTTTTTTTAAAATCCATTATTAAAGAAAATGGGGTTTGTTGCCCCAGTAGATGCCACAGCATGCAGCTAGCGAACATCAGCAGTGTCCACCTGCACAAGATATATAGCTTTTAATTTCCTTTGTTGATTCCAGAGCTTGCTTTTCTGCTTTCTCAGTGTCACTACTGGAAACAATGACATCAGTGTTTTAGAAACAGCAGCTGATATCGCTGCTCCTCCCCGCCCACCACCAAGCCTCAAAAGCACAATACCACAAGGAAGATCTGTCAGTTGGTTAGAGACACACAACATGAAATAACGCTGTAAATTGAACAGCTTCTCGGTAAGCTCACGATCACAATTATCTGTCAGCACAACACACACAATTTACTTAGTGCTGAACATACAAAGCAAGACACTTAAGCAAAGATGAAGCGGCCAGGCAATGATCTGTTACCTTTTCCTCTGCGTAAAGGTATACAGAACTAGAGACATACAGAGCACATACCTATTTGTTATACCAACACACTACACTCGTCAAGTCAACGCCACACTGCTGCAGCCTTCTACAGCTCATGAATAGCTCAAGTGATGCTTGGATCAGTTTGCAACTTTATGGACAGTTTCTAAAATGAAGTGAAAGCATATGAACTTAGCTGGTGTAAATCAGCATGACACTCATCAACTTTCAGGATGTTCTGACAGCTGATACCAGCCTAAGTTCTCTCCCCTGCTTAACAGAGGAACTTGCAAAGAGAGGTGTTGGGTTTTTTCCATGCTAAGGGCAATTGCAAAGTTACATCCTCATCTGCAAACATAGCATCATCATGTAGATTACTGCCCTTTTATGCAGGTGCAGTGGATACTGTGAAAACCAAAGATGATGCTAGCATGTATAACTGATGTACGTATCTTAAAAGACAACTTCCTTACCTTGTTACTATTCCAGTTTACTTTATTATTGCTCATTTACTTTTTTGTATTTCACTTAGGTTAGCCATAGCCAATCTAAACAAAACATTCATTTTATTAGTGTGCACAAAGTTCTTCAGGATGTCATCTATAAAAAAATGCTGATGTGTCCACACTGGGGACAGTGCAGAAGATGTATTCATTTGAAAAGAAAGCATTTCTATTAAAATGAAAGAGGTAAATATATTAAAAAACTGTTGAGCTTCCCTTGAGAACATGTTCCAAGCCTAAATGAACCAGTGTTGTTTTGGATGATACCCTAAAAATTTCACTAAAGGTACTATTTATTAGATGTTCTGCAAAAAGTGAGGGTCTGTGTGCGCTGTCAAAGGTGGTCTAGGAGTAGCTTAAGTGTGCAGGTGACACTTGGTAACTGTTAACACTGAAATTGTTGGCTGCTTGCTGACTGTGAGGATCAAAACCATCTACTCCTGAACACATGAAAAGGAGTGCAACTACATTTATTAAACTAAAGGACAATCTTCTCCAGTGATCCTGGGGTATATTACAAATGAGTGATACTCAACAACAGGATATTAGGTCCACTTCAGTTTGCAACTAAGATTTACGATGGGATTTATAATGCGAGATGGCAGTTCAGCCTTGTTTAAAAAAATATTACAGTTGCTGTGTGACTTGTTAAAAAAAAACCAAAACAGAAAAGAGAATTCAGGTGCTGGAAGATACATGCCATGGAGGCATGCGAACCTCTGCCTGCAGGTGGCCATCTAGTTTTTACAGGAATGATGCCATGAACAAATAGAGCAGCAACTTCCTTCTGCAGACCAAAAAATGCTCTGGAAAAGTTTTGCTTATATTTATAGTGAAATCCTCTTAGTTTGACTGGGTTCAGGATATTATCATATATGACTACACATACACTCATTTCTTAAGAGTTCCATAAAGAATGAAAAATATCTCTCACTTTCATGCAGAAACCTTATTTCTGCAAGGTGCTCAATTGAGAGTCAAAAAGAGCAAGCCTATCCACAGAAAGGGTTGTCACAAAAAACAGCAAAACCAATTTCATATGATACTGCTAAAAGCATTTTGAGTATTCCAGGCTCTTTGCAGGGAGGACTGAAAGTCATCTCTCTGATGCCAAAGCCACCAGTATCAATACTAAGGCTGTCAGAAGGCTGTTCTGGCACCAGTATTTGTCCATTAAACCATGAACAGCCACCAGATATTAACAACTGGCTATTTGTGCAGGATATTAACTTGTAACCTCAGTGGGTGAAGTGAATATTATTTCCTCCTGTAAAGTGGGACTTCTTGCTCTTTCTCATCTGTATGTATCTGAAAGTTAGGCATCTAGGCTCCTTCCAGGGCCAGAGTGAAAGCCAAATCCCCCAAGAGCAACTCATCCCTTTCTTCAGTGCTAACTGCAAAAGGAGCATAAATCACTCCAGCTAGAGGCCCAGCTTTTAGATGGATGAAGTGCAGTGAAACAAACCTTACCCTCAGTGTTTAACCTGACTCCAAGGTACCCCAAAACCACACCAGATCCTTTTTGTGAAAGGTGAGCCAAGTTACAAAGTCCAGCTCACACTCAGGTTTTTGTTCTCATGCTTGCACGTACCTGGTTAGGTGCTTCTGGTGGCATGGGGGATGGCGATTTGGACTGGAAAGCATCCTGGGACATGAATCCAGAATCATGGGAGGACACACTGGACAGCCTCATGGGTGCCTGCTGAGGCAGATTGGAGCTGCGATAGCGATAGTGTGAACTAGGTGAGTGCGAGTGCGAGCCACTGGACCGGGAATCACTACTGTTAACGCTGTTCAGACTGCTGTGAGAGACAAAAGGAACAAAGAAAGGAAAGGGGAGAGGAAAAGACACAAGGGCAGGGTGGGGAGAGACCCATATACAGTACAATTAACATTCCACATGTCTCTAGCAACAGGCAGCAAAAATCGGAAAAGAAAAAATGTTGACAAATTAAATTCAAATATATACATATGCACATATATATCAGTAAAGAACTGTAAGCAGCTGCAGTATCCCTTGCGACCAGAGAGAAAATGGCATTTTAGCTTGAATTTCACTCAAATGATCAAATTCTGTAACCACTCAGAGTTCAAAGTCAAGTTAGGGACAAAGGGATTGTTACATGCCCTCTCTAGCATTTGCACAGCACTTGCACAAAAAATGTCTGCTGACAGCTCTCTCCTATTCCTGACTTACACCTTGTTGCTCTTGCACCATGGCCCAAATTTTCAATGGGATCTCTAGTAGGGGGTCCAAAGGCATTCACTGTTCATCTAAAAGTCTGACTCTAGGCATGCCGTTGCAGTCAGTCAGCAGGCCAACGTGTGAGATTTTTGAAAGCATCACCAAACCCCCATGCTTCAGAGCACCTGAGACAAGTTTCGCTCACATGAAGGCTTTCTACCAGAAAAAACCCACGTGGCCACATATTAAGTCAAGTCAAGCCTCTGGATATGTAGCTTTAGTTAGTAAGAAAGATGATCAGAGAATTAAATATCCCCAATTAATATCCATGAAAAAAATATTTTATTTTTCAAACAAAGAGATTGATTTTTAATCTCCAGTATCCATGAATGACAGCAACGACGTGCCAGCTGCCATGTGGGAGCCTTTGAAGTTTCCTGCTGGGGTGGCTGAGCAGGACTAGCAGGATGCATTACTCTGAAGGCAGCTTCCTACCTTTGCTGGCAGGAGACCATTGACTAGCTGAAGGGATGGCTCTAAAGGATACATAGGTGAGGACTGCACCTCCTGCTCACAAATTTCATGTAACACACAAGATGTACAAGTCGGCTTGGAGCAGAGGAAGAGGAGCTCTGCCTTATTGTACCCATACACAACAGTCTGTTGCCATACAGGTTTTACCACACAAAAAGATGAGGTTGTTTAGGAACAGATGATGGATTTGGTGGGGTTTTTTTGCCATTTTCTTTTACAGCTTCAGGATATTGCATCTTTAAGCCTGTGCTCATTGCTCTAAATATGCATGTTTTCACATATATATATAAAAGTACTGAAGGTTTTTTTATATATATCTGCATGCAGAGACAAGTAGGTACATAGAAGAAGTCATGTTCACTTGCTCTGACATGCTACAGGTAACTTTGCTTGTACACAGGGAACCTGTAGTACATTATTCATAAAGCAAACTAAAAGGTAATCATTCGAGAGCAGCTAGAAAGATGTTGAGCAGAATACACAATAGGATATCTTCCTTTTCAGTAAAAGGAAAGAGTCAATGTAGACACCAGGGAACGGGGGCAACATGCTAATAAACTGTTTTATGAGAGAAAACAGTTTTTTAAGGAGAAAGGATAGACAGAATCCAGTGTTTCAACATATTTCAGGACAGCATTAGACAGCATTAAACAGTCAAAAAAACTTCTATCAAAAAAGCATTTCCATCTACCAGACTGATAGGGCAATTGCCAAGGATGTTTTTCCTTTTCAAACAGTTTAACTTACTGACTAGTAACAGCTACTTAGAATAATCTAAAAAGTCATCACATGAAAAACAGAAAAGGAAATTATGAATGAACAATCTCAGAGCTTAGATCAGTAGTCTGCTCTTTGATCTGAAATGGATCCAAGAGAACTGAATCAAAAGCATCTTCAAATTGTCTTGAGTTCAAAAGTTGTTCAGTCATGCCCATCCTTTTTAATATTCCCAGTCACACACTTAAACAGATAAAGACCACGAGGGATTGATTTCATTAAGAGTTGTTACTTAAGATTTAAGTATGCATACAAATCCATACCACAGTCTGAACTTGCCTCCCCCAAACAGGTTAAAGTTAAATATTACCAGGCTACTTACCTGCAAACACTAGATTTTCTGGACATGGTAGTACTGGGAGAGGATGGAGGAGTCTGATAAGACCAGCTGTAATCAGAACCTTTCAAATCTAAAATTACCTGATGAAAGATAATCAATAGCATCAAGGATGTGGAAAATTTCTTCCCATATTAACAGAAAGCATCTGCTTGTCATACAACATTCATCACCACTACAAACTTTCAGTGCCAACTGACCCAGTCTCAGTTCTCTTCCAGAATTACACTATGTATATTACACAGGAGACTCAGCTTCATCCTTGGCTTTCCAGGAACTACCATACTTGCAACGCTAGGGCTGCTATCACAGAAGGAAAGTTCAGATTTTTAATGGAAAAATCTCTACAAAGTAAACTGGAGATTTACGTTATCCATGCTGTGAGCTGTTTTGGTTTGGGTTTTTTTGGGGGGTTTTTTTTTTTCCTCTTAAAAAAACTATTACAGCCTTAGAGTTTAAAAGCTGTCACATTTTAAAAAAATTAATCAAAAATCCAATATTCAACCATAGCAGAGCTTCCCTCCTTTACACTTCTAGGTCAACAATAAGGTGATTAAGGTATGACTGGAAAACTGAGTTCACATAGCAGGGTTGGAGAAAAAGGTCCTATTTGGAGGCATTTAATGATACACATTTTCCTCTGCATTTTAAGGACAGGACATAAGAATGCTCAAATGTTAAGACTCCATCAAGCTATCTAATCCCAGCAATCTTGCAACCACATAAAGACAGGTATGCTTAAATGTATAGGGCAAGGAGATGACACTCATTTCTCATGTACTCTCAGCAGAAACTGGGCATCTTCATATACTTCAAAGTATTACTGCTACCACTTCACATTGGTCTCACCAAATACTTCAGGAAGCACTCAGCTAGTACTTCAAAATCAACTTTTTAAAAATTGCTTATGCTAAAAATGACCTTGCTGCAGTGAAGCATCTAGAAAACATAACATTAAGCCACTTAATGCTAGTAGTCAATATTCCTCGTAACACAAAAGGAAAACTGGTACAAGCTACAAATAAAAATGTTTTCCAGGTAACAAGAGCTAACCTGTTCACTTGAAGATGGCAGTTTGTGTGGATCCATGGTAAGACTTTTCAGGTCATCTGATATGGTTTGTAAATGGGTTATTTCTCCTAGCATTGATATTTCTTCTTCCTGAAAAGACAAAAGAGCAAGGCTAATCATAGCCTTGGTTTTAAAAATCAGACCCATAACACAATACACAACCTTTTTCTTTTTGCTGATGACTGTGGGAATGCCCAGCGGAGCTGCTTTTCCTTTGCCCATTAAGCAATCACTTCTTATGAAAGAGGGTTGAAAATATTAATTTAGAGTTTTATAACTACTTTAAGATTGCTGTAAGTTCTGAGGCCCAGAAATCTTTTGTCTCATCAATGCGATAAGTAAGTCTCAGCCTTCTTTTTGTGACACCTTCAGAAAAAGTGTGTCATGTCTGCTGCATTTGGGAAAGATTTAACTCTTCTATGTATACTCACTAATGTGCCCTAAGGATTTTAACCTTGAATGTAAACAGGGGTTAAACTCGTACTTTTTGCTAGTTTTTGGAAACTTTGACATAAAGGCACTATACAGGTACAGAGCATTAATAACATCTATGATTCATTCCGACTCAAGCTACATCAACAGCTAACTTAGATGATTCCTGCACCGTAAGTTACCATAGCAATCCTTTAGCTACCATGGTAATTTCATCCAGGTCCTCAGAGTCTGGAATTCACCTCCTCCTGCTCAGCCATCACCTCCCTGCTTCTCTAACCATGGTTTTCTGTTGAGACTGATGCTCTTTGTAAACAAGCATTGGGAACATTTTCCCAGTACGCTGGAGACCCTTCAGAAATGCATCATGCTTGCACAAAGCCATAAACGATTCATTGCCGGGCTTCAGACAACCTGAGATGATGAAAATACACTCAAACCTTTTCAATGAACTGAAAAAGCTGTCATGTAGGAGGAAAAGACCTGCCAGAAAACTGCATGGAAGCAGCCTGCAATCTGTCAGATAATGTCATTATATACACAGGGGAGGTCTTGAAACATTTATCAGTCCTAGCACTGGAGTGGGAGTAAGGAAGATTTACATTAAAATGTGATGTTAAGAAAAAAAGCAGTGGAAAAAACTGCATTAGCAATGTCTCAGGTCAGTATGCATAGGGAACTGAAGCCCACTTAAATCTCTGTGCCCATTGTTTCCCCATCAATCATCTTGAAACTATTCAGTGTCTTCCGTCACTGAATTACTCCAAATGCCTACAAGGAAGGTCCAACTCTCGCCACTTCCTAGGCAGAGATGCAGGCTGAATTTTGGCTCTAAAAACTCATTCCTAAAACATAACGAGCTACTCTTTTTAGAGGCTTTTGGCCACTTATCTAATTTGTGAATTGTACCAACTTAAAACAGAGAGCTCTTACTATCACGGGCCGCAGCATCGAGATGAAAGTACAGAATCGACCACGCTCCTCGATCAGAGCTTTTCTGACAGCTTGCTTCTCGGTTTCTTCAAGCAGCAGGTACTTATCATTGACATCTTGTAAAGCACTATCCAGCTGGGGCTGAATATCACCCCGCCCTGTATGCAGGAAACAATCAAGAGTACATTTTGTCAAAACTGTGGTTCTCCATAGAGGAAGACCTCACTTTCCACCAGCACTGCTGCTGGATTGTGCTTTTGCAATTCAAGTCTCAACCAGAATTTTCCCTTAATCCAAATTAGCAAGGGGTTTTTTTCCCCCAATTAAATAAAGCATTTCACAGCATTTATTTTTTTCCCCTTTTGCATAGAATAGAAATCCAGCTCAATTCAAAAGGTTTCAACAAGCCAAAGACAGCATTTCACATAAGGATTTTCTCAAAGTGTTAGCTGTAGAAACCCTTCACATCATCCTTGCTGAAAATCAACACCTTACTAACTGGGAGAGTATATTCCTCTTCCTTCCTACTTCTGTGCTTAGCAAGGTCCTAATGACAGCTTTGTGGAGTCACTAAATGAGTGGATGAATCTCCTATATGAGATGGTATTAAGGACACGTTACTGATCATTGGACCATTGGATTCAAGTACTCTACACAAGCAACGGCTAAAACAGTTTTCTTCATTCCAAAGTCCAAAACAAAAAAAACTCTATCAACATCTCAAATACATATTAATGTCCAGTATTTGTCTATGGAAATAAAAAAAAAAAAATCCAGTGTTTTGCAATCAAAAAGCTGCACTGTGTTAATTATAGTCAACTCAATACCAAAACTTTCTGTGACAGTTAAAAGTACCTTATTCTGCACCAACTGCTTACTCTGCATCATGGCAAAAGTTTATTCCTCTAGAGCGAAGGGCGGCTGCTTAGCCATAGTATTACTGAGCCAACAATGTTGCAGTTGCAAGATGTTTTCATGCAGCTTACGCCCCTAAATATTTTAAAGAACCTCAGTGTAAATTTGTCTCAAATCTCCCAGAAACGCCACCACATGCAAATTAAGTATCCAGGTACATAACCATGCCACTGTTGCTAAATATCAGGAAGATAACATTGAAAAATGGTGGCTGAGTTACAAGCAGCTACCCAAAAATCAATATTTACGGACCATAACCTTTGTGCACAGAGGAGTTAAAGCTACAAGTAAAAGGAAGAAAAAAGTCTCTTGATGTGTGTAATACACAATGCAGATGACTGAAGGTCAGGGTTACAAAGGAAAACCTTTGCATTATTATATGTATTTCTTCAGTACTCCAGAGTGAGGTGAAGTCGTCAGCTCCCCTGCACCGATACACAGCCAGAGCCACAGGAAAGTGAGCAGCGATGGAAGCAAAGAGAATGATGCTGGCTTAGCGGCATTACAGACCGGATATATCCAAATGTCCTCTGTACAGAGTTAGACATAGTCCAGATAAAACTGCACAGATACGCACAAGCAGAGTTCTGCGATGGATCCTTGAAGAATCACGTGCAGTGCAACACCAGCACGGCCACCCCCAAGGCCACCTGGGTACCAAACTGCCAGCAGGAACACCCAGTGCCTGATCCTGTAGATCAGGCTGACTGGTGTAATGTGGTCATAAAACTGTTTTGGAAGTAACTTTAACAATAACAGACTCTGAAGCTGGAGTCACCTGCTTCCTCTCTCAAAATTAGCATCTGCCAGAAACAAGTTAAAGAAGCGTTTTGGATAACACCCTGAAGGTCCTGTGCCTTCTCATCCATCACCCTTAGGAGACCAACTGGGCCCTTCTGCTTGAAGACCATTCTGTACATTTCAGGCCCTTCCCCATACTCCACCTTGCTATCAGATGCAATGATGAAAAATTTTATACTTCTCTGGAGTTGTTCTTTCAAATTCCTTATGAAACTGAGACTTGCATTATTGCTCAGACCCCTTGAGAGCTGCCTGGAAATTACAACAGGTGAAATAATCTCCTGCTGTTCAAATCTAGATACCGGCTCACTACTGTGGATGTACCAAATGCAAACTGTATTAGTTGCAAACTAAATCACACACTCCTTGGTTCAGATCTGAGAACTGCTGTAAATGTTCAGCTGCTCCACCACATGATCATGCACTTAACACAGTAAATCCTTGTTAAATGCACTCGCCTACACAGTGAGAAGACATACACTTAGAAAGCAACTGGACTCCCCTGATAAAGTGGGTTCAATTATAGTGAATTTTGGTAATTTATGTGGACCTCACAGAGCAGCAAGTCTTTGACCAGAGCAACAAGAGCACCCAAAACATGTGGCAAACATAAACCTCATTTACACCTGCGTAACTCACTCAATTCAAGGAAGTTACCAGCATAATGTTCAAGCTGTGTATTTAACCCTTTGGCAAAAGCGTGTATAAAACTGCATCGCTCTCCAACATCCTCTGTATCTCTACGCAGTTTCCACTTTATTTCTTTAAGTGAGCTGGGATATTAACAGACATACCATCTTCTCACTGCTACTTCCACGGACTTGTTTTTATGCTATGGCTCTTGGGCACCTATGTAGTCAGTGAAAACACAGAAGCTGTCCAGGGTATAATTCAGAGCAGGAAGCAAGCTTAGGTGAATCATTTAAATGAGGCTCTGACATCAGATGTTTACATAGCATGAATATAGCTCTCTCCTGATGTCTCCTCACAACTCATCTTTTAGGAGCAGGAAAGCTTTATCAATATCCTTTGAAAGCTCCATAATGCAGACATCAATCTAGCAAGTCTTATGAAATCGGGCATAACTCTTCCCACACCCTGAATCGCCAGCTGCCTCTCATGGCACTCAGACAGCTCGGAATTTGAGGGATGAGATCTCAGCCCAATTTTAACCAGTTTCCTTTGCTAACCAGAGTGGAGCACAGGCCCTCGACAGCACTCCTACACTCAGAGGACATGGAGGACGTGAGGGCCAACTGCCGATCACCTCTGCTCCTCACCCACCTTGGGTCTCCCCTAGTTTGTATCCACTACATGTCTCAGAAGGGAACATCGACCACTGGAGAGCAATGCAGTTCTTTTCCCCTTTGAACTACGAGGGGAAGGTCACTTGTCTAGGGCATCCCTGACAACTGATTGCACTATTTTTGCTGTGGACATGAGGCACACTTTCCTAAGGAACATCAACAATTGATTATTCTCTCCAGCCCACATTCTCTGGTTTTTAGGGTACCCGTTTGGAAGCATTTCCAAACCAACACAACTATTGCAATGACAGAAAATAGTTCCAGAACAGTCTCATCATGGAGCAGCTGTAAAAGTGCACCTGGAAGGACACTCCTACCCCAGCTGCAGACAGGTTTGAATGACCCATCAAAGCAACCAGCATTAGCAATGGTCAAAAGCATCAAATGTAGTCACAGCTTTCTGGTCTGCAACCAGCCAGACACGAACGTGATGTAGGGATGGTTCTGCAGAGAATATCCAGTTGAACTCAGAAGAACGAGTCAAATCTGAAAACCGAGGAGAAATTCAAATCCAGCCTGTCTCAAAGTAGAGCTTTGGTGTTGCAGAGAGGAGCAGAAATGCAAGACCAGAAGTTGTGGACCGACTTCTCCAACAGCACCATGCTTCAACAGCCCGGGGACTTGCAGCTTGGCACAGGCAAGTAACAGCTAATGAACTGCAGAGAGCTGAACTGCTTCTCATCAATATTAACATGAATCCACCGCTACTCCAAGGACAGTCTTAGTATGTTACCCTCAGAGCAGGTGCTTCACATCATTACCATGACATGCAAGAGCTTTAAAGGACCAACATGCATTAAAACCTCAGTTTTACAGTGTTCTGCGTGAATCCTGGCTGAAAGCCTCATTCAGCTTCTTAAATAACCATTGTTCAAAAAGAACTTTAGTAAAGGAAATGTATTAGGGAGAAAGAGAAAGGTAAATCTAATTTTCAACCCAATTTCATGCCTATATTTTATAAAACAACTTAAACTAGCAAAGCTGTCAGCAACAGCAAAGGAGAACAATGATTTTTAAATGCTCTCAGTGCAAGTCTGACTACTAAAGCTAATGCTATTATTAACAAAGTAACGCAGCAAATATTGGTGAAATTATTATTTTCCACTTTCTCACTTAAAGAGTGCTCCCTTGCGTTTTTTTACATCTGCACGGAACTTGAATATTGCATATTGGACACTTTACAGAGTGGCAGAATTTACACTGTATGAGACAATGCTGAGCACACCTCAACTCGTACAAACCATAGCAGGTTCCAAGTCATTCATTCCCAAATCACCTTCTTTACAAGAGCATATCTGCTTCAGCTGCCAGGATGAATAACCCCTCTAAGTCCTGCATAGTAAAGCCAAAAAATAAACTAGCATGGATCTAGGCTGAGAATGGAAGAATTCTACTACCATTTATAGAAAGGTAGAAAACCTCATTGCTGGGGTTAACTTCAGACCCCTTCCGCAACCAAATCTGAGTCTTTCTGGTGGCTACTGGAGATCTGAATCAGCTGCTAATGTTCAAAAGTTCTAAGTTGTCCCTTAAAAGAAAAGTTCCAAGTTACCAAAGGAAACTTCCAGATTGAATTACAAACCAGGAAAAACAAAAATTGTGGTTTCAAAAAAGGGGACAAGCAGCAGGCACCACAGTGCCCAGCTCCAGAAGCCCAAGTGAGGCACCTCGGTTGAGAGTCTCCTGATCTAATCAATCCAGGCTTCTCCAAAGGGCAACACCTACACCATTACACCTGCAAGTGGAGGTGTGATTATTTCTCTCAAATTCAGAAACACCTCATTTCATTCACAAGAAGATCTCAAGGCAACTACTTTAAATTTGCAATACAGCTGAAACAACACTCCAATTTAAACAATTTGAGATGTGATCAGGCAGCAGGAGACAATTGTGATGCCAATTTCCACCCCTTCCCCAGCATGAAGTAAATATAGTGATTTCTTATCTATCGGTTAAGAAAGGTGCATGCGATTTTCAGAAAAAAAGAGGGACTTGGATCACAGGTTTACAAAGAACAACACTAAGGACTTTAAGCTCTAGACTTTAAAAGTCATATTAACAATAAGATATTCAATTATTTGAACATCACCTTGATGACTTGTCTATTCCATTTAACTTCTCTCCCAACTGTGACA